GACGTAATACCAACACTTTATAAGGACTATGGCATATTCAATTGAGCACACAATCTACTTACACCACTTTGTCAATTGAATCGCTTTTTTCAATATTACGTCTTTTTTTCCTAGTTTCTATTCTATTTTGTCTATCTTTATCGATTTGTGTAGTAAATCGTTCATCTTCACTACGAGAGTGTGAATTTTCTTTATAGGTTTGTCTCAAAAATCTTAAGTTCTGCTCATGAAATGGGTGTTTATCCCCCCCCCCCAATTCATTTAAATCGGCTCCACTAACCGGTTTTAATTTACAAAATCCAACTTGCCATGGATAGTGTGAATTATTTTTATAGGTTTGTCTCGAAAATCTTACGTTCTGCTCACGAGATGGGTGTTTATCCCTCATTTCATTTAAATCGTTTTAATTTACAAAATCCAACTTGCCATGAATTTGTTTAGATGGGGACGCTTAGTGACTTTCAAATCACAGCTAAAATATTAGGTGTCCGTTAGTACTGGATGTGACACATAGTAGTACTACACTTTGTTGTTCCGTTAGTACTTGTGGATGTGACACATAGTGGTACTATTTTGTTTTAAAAGACATGAATATTAGGGAATGATTTAATAGCAAAGAATTAAAAGGGGTGATGCTTCGAACCCAGGTCGTCTAGCCCCACCTTGTGGGGTTAGCCGAATGATCCGTGAATGCTTCTCTAAATTTGTTGTACTATAATATATCATATGTATTCCTCAATTTATTTTCTGTGTGAAGGAGGGAGTATCTATCAGCGGGATCGACGGCACGCCCATTCTGGCAAGTGGCAATGGCGTCTCGTCTCATCAGACTCACTCTCACCCGTATATACTGTAGCGAGGAGTCACGTACGCCTGGCCCATCGTCCACGCATGCATCGCGGCGGCCGGCATCGGCTCGGCTAGCTCGATCTAGGCGCACGCAGATATCGCAGGCACGCATGTGCAATAAAGGCCATCATCGCCCATCGATCGCCGAGGCCTACGTCGAGCTACGCCGCGTGGTTAATTGCACTTGCAGCTCGGGCCTACTACGCCAGGTCAAGACCAGCATGGGCCGTTACTATCATCGCCTGTACTACACCTCCCGTCTTTTATCGATCGATCGATGGGCCTTTTTACGTACGTGCCGTGCGTGCTGTGTGCCGCTGCAGGCGCTGAATGTCTCGCCGTGCCGGAAGCCGGAACGGAAGTGGTAGTAGTAGATCTTTTTTAGCCTGCCTGAGTGCCTGTACACGCCATCATTGGAACTTGTCTGTGCAGGGCCATATACTCCAGTGTAATGGCACGGTTGATGCGCATATACCACCATACCGGCATGAGTAAAACAAAGTAGTAGTACTAACATGGCGTAGGTTGTCGATCTACAGAGGCTATACACTACTACAGCATTGACGTGCTGGACTGCTGCCCGGCCGGCCGGATCCACCCTTCCAGCGTTCCATTTATGACCTCATTCCTCCTCTCGCCATCCTGTCATCCGGCATCGGCGCAAGACACAGCATTTTCGGGTGAATGGTAGGAGTGGTACGGAAACCAGCTGTGACAGGTGTAACCGTGGCACACACAATTAAACCTTTTCCCAATACGAGAATTTTAGGCGAAATGAACACACTCGGTCTATCATCCATGATCCATCCCTCCTGGCTGGGCTGGGTAGCTGGCCGTGGATGCGTAGTGAACGACCGGTTGCTAATGAGTGGTCGATTGACCGGGTGAATCACCTGGGTCCGGTCGGGCCCGACCGGGCCCTAGAGTGTGTTATCCTGGAGGCGCGAGCTAAGAATAGCTGTCACCGGCGTTGCGCGCCATCATTGAGCGTGTGCACGAGCCGATCTCCCGGATCTCCACGCACCCATCGGCGAAAATACTGTACTCCGTATTGTTAAGAGCACCCGCAATGGTAAAGTAAGGTGCTCTTTATATAAAACATATACATCTTAGTAATAGACTAGATTAATAGTAAACCATATGTCTACATGGGTATCTATAGCTCTCTCAAGCATTGTCTCATTTTTTTCTATAGACTATCTCTAAGTTAGTAGATAATTTTGCTCTCTCTCTTCATTTAATATCTTCTAAGTAGGAAAATATACTGATATAGATCTCTTATAGAGAGTTTATAGATAACTATTGTGGTTGCCATAATGCTACCGCCCACACCGCGGCACTGTCACCCAGGCCGGCCAGCCAGGCGCAGGCAAAGCTCAAGATGAATTCATCAACAAAGAGGGCAAAAGCGTGGCGCGCGCCCGGTCCACCCACCCCGCCCTCGCGCGCGCGCCCACCTGTCCGTTCGACCGTCGCCCGCAATCTGCTCAAGCTCTGCCCCGCAAGCGGCACGGCAACGCAACGCTATGCTTGGCTTGCGCGCGCGCGCGCGCAGCCTCGCGCGCCGTACGTGCGGTGGACCGGTGGTCTCCTTCCCTTCCGAACGGGGCAACGACGCGCGCGGCGGACGGGTGACGCCGCGGTGCATCTCGCGGCATCGCATTTGATGGTCTTTCCGTCGACGACGCGCGGGGACGAATTATTGTGCCATTTACTCCGTCCGTTGCCTACTAGGACTACTACCAGTACTAGCGCAAAATGTTGCGCGCTGGGTAGGGCGTGGTAGGTTTTGATATTGATTGGGGCCGAGATTCACTGGAGTACTAGTACTATAATTACTTGGGAAGGCTGCAGTGATTGCACACTAGGAAGGCTTCCCTTGAAGAAAAAAAAAAGAAGATTGCACACTGGAAAGGCAGTGCGTGCGGCACTCAAGTTGTGCGTGTGCGAGAGATGCGCTGGTGATTTGTCGTGATTGCGCCCATTATTAGCCTGCGTTAACACTGCTTAATAATGACCGTAATGATTTGTACCGGAGGTGGAGCACGAGCGCGTGTTTACCCATCTGTAAAGCCGGTGGAGGTCACAGTAATAACGGAGGAGGAAGACAAAAGTGAAGCGAACCAACCAACCACTCGACATGTCTCGGCTCGGCTCTGACGAGCGACATGGAGTTGTAACAACTCTGGAATTAACTGAAGCTCTGGTTAATTAGTTTCTCTCCAGTTTCCAGTCTCCACAGGGTAGGTGACGGATTAATTTTGCTACGCTATGGGGCTAGCTACTGTACGAGTAGTAGTAGTACTTCCTCCGTCTCAAAATAAATGTAGTTTAGTACTATTCACGTACAACGTTTGACCGTTCGTCTTGTTTGAAATTTTTTATGATTAGTATTTTTATTGCTATTAGATGATAAAACATGAATAATACTTTATGTGTGACTAAATATTTTTAAATTTTTCATAAAATTTTCAAATAAGACGGATGGTCAAACGTTGGGTATGGATATCCACGGCTGTACTTATTTTGGGACGGAGGTAGTACTTCATTGCAAGAGAACAAAACATTTCCCAATTCCCACACGCGATGACGCGCGCCAGCGTCCAGAATCCGAGCTGGAGCGCTCGAAGAGGATCCGGTACACATAGGGTTCCTCTAGCTAGGGTGTAGCGAGTCAGCCAGGAGCCCAGGACCGAGACCAACATCTACTGCGTCGCCTTGGATCCAAATGCGAGTTACAGTCTGCGGCAGTACAGCGTGGCGCGGCGCGCGCAGCGAACGGTAGCGCGGATCGATCAGCGGCGGCATGCGCCGATCCGGATTCTGGCCGGTCCATCCATGGCATGCACTAGGCACTAGCACCAGCACCAGCACGCACTACCGGCCGGCGCCACGGAGAAGAAGGCGACAACACGGGTGCCGCCACGGGGAAGCCAACACCGGTGCTTTCGACGCCGTCGTTTTGTAGCCTTCCATGAAAACCCCCTGGGACCTTGGCCTCCCATGCAGGTGAGAACATCGATTTTTTTTTTCTTTTTTTTTAAAAAAAAACAGAAGACGACGACGTGCAGGTGAGGTGTACTCGTACGTGTATAGTAGAAGAGCAGAGGAAGGAGTAGTTTTGTTAATAATTTCCCCTGATGAAAAGCTCTTTGTTCTGTCTGTCTGTCCCTAGTTGTGAAATAAAAATTCCTGATTAATTAGTGAGCCAAAGTTGGTCGGTTCGCTACTGGAGCAATAACCCCCGTGTTTCCCGTTGTATTTAAAGGTCACGTTGCCCTTAATTTATTTATACACAAACAAAACATGCATTGTTAGAATTTTACTAGCCTCAAGTAGTCAGGTTGATTCGCATGATCATATCATCATCCAGGTCCATCGTGCCGTGCATTCTTCTAGTAGCCGCGGATTCAGGTCCATCATAATTTCCGTGGAATATAATTTAGGCACTGCTCCAACGAAACCCTTCGGTACGGGCCTGAACGACGAGCCAATCGAAGTATAAGACGACAACCGTATCGCTACGAACTTAGGATTAATGCAGCGGTGTACTACATCAAGTAGCAACAGTAGCAGGGGCTAAATACCGTCGCGGCGTTGCCGCTGTCCGTGCAAGCCGAAGCCGCGGGGTATTCGGCAGCTGACATGTGGGCCCTGTTTGGCAGAGAGAGGAGGGATTAGTGCTAGTAAGGATCCAATAATGCTCAAATGATCTCGCGGTGGTAAATCATAGGCCGGGACAATCTGTCAGTAATTCAGTAGTATACTGAACTTTACTATCGTTGGGAAAAGATGTTGAGATCAAAGATAAAAGGAGTACTCCTACTAGCACTGTGGCAGCACTCTTTCCTGGATAATTGCGTGCTTAAAGAAGATAGATCCCTGTGTTTTTCCTAATCTGCGGTGCTGGACCTGCTGATAGCCTGATGACACCTCTGTGGAGGAAGAAGGGCCATGGCTAGTTTTTAATCCTGCTTTTTCAGAAACTTTTTTTGGAAAGTAATTCCTGTGCATTTTTTCCATCCTTTTTACTGAGATGTCAGTGACTGAAACTGTCTCGAAACCTGTGTAAAGGAATGCAGTGTTACCGGACGACCTTTTGGGTGTTTTTTTTTCTGCCTACTTCATCAGTTCATCTGCACCCTCTCTCTCTCTCTCTCTCTTCTGGACTCCACTCGAGCAGCAGCTAGGGTGGGCACCGTTTCTCTGTCCATTGCTAGCCCTCTATCACTTGCGCCCACACACCCACACACACTCTACGCGACGAGCAGTCGAGCGCAATCGCAAGCATACATAGAGCATGAGCTCGCTGCTTGCTCGGTCCTCTTCTCTTCCTGCCCAAAAGGGTGGAAGCTACATTCTGTCTGCGACTCGTCATTAGTACAGGATTGTTCTTGGATGCGCAACCAGCCAACGACTCACAATACGCTCGCGGGAATTAAGGTCAGCTGGTTTCACTTGCTGTTTTTTGTTGATTCCAATCTGCTCGCCTCTCTCCAAAAGTTGAGTGTGGTTTTTTTGCTTGGATTGGATTCCAGGGCTTAATCCCACTCGGCCAGCGCGGAAGTCGGGAGAAATTTGGGCATCTGCTGCAGCCATTGCTCGATTCTTGGTGTGGTGGCTTCTTGATGGGTTGGTTTGGTTGTAGAAGCAGCCCAAGACGCCTAATTTCCTTCCTGCTCACCTCACATTTGGAGTGATTTGATGTCTTCGTGCAGCATTTGGCCACTTATATCTGGCCTTGCTCCTTTTTTCAGCCACATTTCTCAGTTCTTGGTATCCGGTTGGCACCTCGATGTGTCCGCATTGCTTCTGGAGTCCCAATTCTAAATTAGCTAGTAGGTCACATTTGCAGTGACCTTGGTCTCCTGGAGCCCTGGGTGCAGCAGCCTTGGAAATTTCTCTGCATTTGCCAAGTTTCTTGCCCTCAGCGTGCTCGTTCTTTGTTGATAGATGTCCTAAATCCTGCGTGCCCGGTTGATCTGCTCCCATTTCTAGCATTTTCCATTTCCTGGTGCACCATTCTTCCAAACCTCTGTTCTCGTTCGGTGCCGAAATCCCCAAAATTTTGGTCTTTTACTCGCACTCTTGGTTCCAAGTCTCATAAACCCTACCTACTTCACTTCACACCCAGTGTTTGGAAGACTCAAGATTGCTCCGCCGTTTGCATGAGCAGTGCTTGTATTGGCTTCAGAGCTGGATCTTACAATGCGGCTCCTGATATTGTGCTTATCGATTTGGGCTGCGTCTGCAGCCGCTGCCATGGCTGGTACAGACATGGAGGCACTATTGGAGTTCGGCAGAGGCATCCGGCAAGACTCATCCGGTCATCGGGCCACTCCTTGGAACCCCACTAGCGCGTTGGATTCTGATGGCTGCCCTCTCGATTGGCATGGCGTGCAGTGCAGCAATGGCCAAATTCTGTCAATTGCATTTGATGGAGCTGGGCTTGTGGGTAATGTTAGCCTGTCGGCTCTTGCGAGTATGCCGATGCTTCAGAACTTGTCCCTGTCGAATAACAAACTGGTAGGCGTCTTGCCCCGTGATCTCGGGTCTATGACTTCTTTGCAGCTATTGGATCTTTCGAATAACATGTTCTCAGGTCAAATTCCGGCTGAATTGACTAAATTGGCTAATTTGGGACATCTCAATCTCTCTTCCAATGGTTTTGGTGGTGCATTGCCTTTGGGTCTCCGGAACTTAAGGAAACTGAAATATCTGGACCTTCGTGGCAATGGCTTTACTGGCAAATTGGATGACATATTTGCAGAATTACAGAGCCCGGTTCATGTTGATTTGAGCTGCAACCGGTTCTCGGGTTCATTGATATCAATATCTGACAACTCATCTGTGGTTAGCACACTTCAGTACTTGAATGTTAGCCACAATATGCTGTCAGGAGCATTATTTGAGAGTGATCCAATGCCTCTGTTTGATAGCCTGGAGGTGTTTGATGCAAGTTACAATATGCTTGAGGGCAATATTCCACCATTTAATTTTGTGATTTCCCTCAAGGTGTTGCGCTTGCAGAACAATAATTTTTCTGGGTCCATTCCAGAGGCGCTCTTTCGACAGACCTCCATGGTGTTGACTGAACTTGACCTCAGCTGCAATCAACTTACAGGTAAATCAGTTCTCCTACTATCCATCGCATGCTTCTCTTAAGAGGAATTATATTTAGTTCACGCTTTGATATGTAGCTTGTGCTGTGCTATCACAATTCCCTGGTGCTTGAACAGACAAATCATAGTGATTAGACATGAAAAATAAATGCATATTTCATTCATTCCATACTGTTTTGAACTACTCCTCCATTTCAAATTACTTGCATTTTAGCTTTGTACTAAATCAAACATTTCTATCTTTGACCATCGATGTCTAGGAATTCTTATAGTATAACACCATTTGAATTATATATTATGAAAGTATTTCTCAAGGTGAATCGAAAGACATGTCTTATGATGTTAAACTATATGAATTTCTAAAAGTTGATGGTCAAAGAGACAAAGACACAAATGTTTGACTTGGGACAAAACTAAAATGACAAGTAATTTGAAACGGAGGGAGTAGTTAATTGTTTCTAAACGATGTATTGCACTAACCAATCATGTGATTAACTCTAGTTTCTGAATTTTCTTGTCTTACACAGGTCCAATTAGACGTGTAACATCAATGAACTTAAAGTACCTGAATCTGTCATCCAACAGCCTTCAGGGAACTTTGCCCATCACATTTGGGAGCTGTTCAGTTGTTGATCTGAGTAGAAACATGCTTTCAGGGAACCTATCAGTTATCCGAACTTGGGGAAATTATATTGAGACGGTCGATTTGACCTCAAATCGGTTAACAGGAACATGGCCAAATGAGACAACCCAGTTTTTGAGGTTGACTTCGTTGAGGATTTCCGACAACTTGCTTGCAGGAGAACTACCAACTGTTATTGGAACTTATCCTGAGCTGATTTCCATCGACTTGAGTCTCAATCAGCTTCATGGACCATTGCCTGGAAATCTGTTTACAGCAGTCAAACTGACCTATCTAAATCTGTCAGGAAACAGCTTTGCAGGGACTCTTCCTCTTCCTAATTCTGAAGCAAAGAGCTCAACTTTTATAGACTTGTTAGTTCTCCCTGTACAAACTTCAAACCTCTCATTTGTTGATCTTTCAAACAATTCTTTGAATGGCTCACTGCCTTCGGGCATTGGTGCTTTGAGTGGATTGGCATTACTGAACCTTTGCCAAAACAACTTTTCGGGGCAAATTCCGAGAGAAATCACCAAGCTAAAGCATTTGATATACATTGACTTATCAAAAAACAATTTCAATGGTACCATACCCGAGGACCTCCCTGATGATCTTGTTGAGTTCAATGTCTCCTACAACAATCTATCTGGCTCAGTTCCAAGCAACTTGTTGAAATTTCCTGATTCATCTTTCCATCCAGGAAATGAGCTGCTTGTTCTTCCTCATTCTGCATCACAAAATGGCCCTGACAGTTCTGGAGGGGGGAGACGCGGTATGAAACGTGGAATTCTGTATGCATTGATTGTATGTGTTGTAGTCTTTGTTACTGGGATTATTGTGCTTTTGCTTGTTCATTGGAAGATCTCTAGCTGGAAGAGTAGTGAAAAAGGAACTAGCCAAAGCAAACAACCCGCAACTGTAGGAGAATGTTCACAGAGACAAGGAGAAGCTCCAACACCAGAAATGCAAGAAGTATCACTAGAATCATCATCATCTACAGAGTATGTAGGTAATCCTTTACCTGGTAAGGAAAGACAGCATGAAGCACAAGATGTGTCAGTTCATGCTGATCAAATAGGCAGTAGCTCCACCCTTAAAGACAATATGGCATCTTTGATGCCTCCATTGACATCGTCACCTCCTGATGTGCGCGCGCAGCATCAGCACTCTGTCCTGAGAGTCCACTCTCCTGATAAAATGGTTGGGGATTTACATCTTTTTGACAATCTTGTAGTGTTCACGGCCGAAGAGCTCTCCCGTGCTCCTGCAGAGATCATTGGTAGGAGTTGCCATGGGACATCCTACAAGGCTACACTTGACAATGGATATGCACTGACAGTAAAGTGGCTGAAGGAGGGATTTGCTAAGAGCAAGAAGGAATTTTCTCGTGAAATAAAGAAGCTTGGAACTGTTAAACATCCCAATTTAGTGTCCATGCGAGGCTACTACTGGGGTCCTAAAGAGCATGAAAGGATCATTATATCAGACTATGTAGATTCTACTTCTCTTTCTTCTTTCTTGTCTGGTAAGATGATTTCTTCACTATCTTCATTTTTTAATTCTATATTTTTATGCTGAAGGAGTTCTTGAAAAGGTTCTGATACATCTCTATTATGATCTGCTCAGAGTTTGAAGAACGGAATATTCCGCCTCTATCAGTGGACCAGCGTCTGAACATTGCAATTGACATTGCGCACTGTCTAGATTACCTACATAACGAGCGAGTGATCCCACACGGCAACCTGAAGTCATCCAATGTCCTGATCCAGAACGCAAGTCCATCTGCTTTGGTTACCGACTACAGCCTTCACAGGCTCATGACTCCAATCGGCATGGCCGAACAGGTCCTCAATGCAGGGGCCCTCGGATACTCTCCACCTGAGTTTGCTAGCTCCAGTAAGCCGTGCCCTTCCCTGAAGAGTGATGTGTATGCCTTCGGTGTCATTCTACTCGAGCTGCTGACAGGGAAGATTGCCGGGGAAATCGTTTGCGTGAACGATGGTGTGGTCGACTTGACGGACTGGGTAAGGATGCTAGCAAGGGAGGAGCGCGTTTCGGAGTGCTACGACAGGCGGATCGTGGAAGCTCATGGCTCAGGTGGCGCCCCAAAGGCGCTGGAGGACATGCTGCGCATCGCCATCCGGTGCATCCGGTCTGCATCCGAAAGGCCGGAGATTCGGACAGTGTTTGAGGACCTTTCATCCCTGTCATCTTGACATAAAATTTCTTGACAGTGTACATCTCGTACTTACATCAGTTTGCCGAAATTCTGGGAAGGGTATACTAACATCTGTGAACTGTTTAGGATTTTGTGGTGGTGTTCTGGTCTCTTGAGCATTTGATTGTTTGGGTTCCTCTTCCTTAGAAGCGTCGATTCATTTTTAGTTAGTCCATGATTTTAGCCCTAGATGATTGTGAGAATAAGTTTGTGCATTGTTATTTTGAACATCAGAAAGAAAATAAAGATATGTGTAGTTATTTTTCTCTTGCATGTTGTGAGTTAGTATGTACCTTTACACTGATCTCTGTATAACTAGTCAGATATCCCCCCAAAAAATACTCACTTTGTAAGTGTAACAGAATAGCCGACAATTTGTGATACTGTTTAATCTTTTGCCACAAGTTGTGGCTGGTATAAGGTTCTCAAGTTGTTGTGTTGATTCCTTGGTGACTTGATGTTCGCACCGTATTTGATTCTTGGACAGATGCAGGTCACCTACGAATCAAGCAATGCCGTCGAAAAGAACTTGCGGCAAGAACATATGCTTTATCACGGGAATGGGCAATGTCCTGAAATTATTTTCTCCAATATTGATGTATTTTTTGTGTTAGTTTGGAATAATGACCGGATAAAAACTCAAGTGTATCCACTAGTGTCGGAGAGTGGATCTCCTCTAGCAGGGAAGCAAGAACACCCCCCACCCCCTAACACACACACACACACCCCTTCATATTTGGCTAGGGGCGAGTTGAGATCAAGCTCGTCCGGAAGATGAACACGTAACATGATCGAGTATAAAGGTTCAGGCCACTCAGAAGCATAATACCCTATTTCTGTGTTTTAGACTATGTGTGATGTATGTGCTACAAAGTTCTGATAGTAAGATGAACTAGGGTTCTACTTCAGCGCTATTCTTTCAACTAGGAAGGTGGCTCGCGCGCATGCGCAGGCACTTATATTATTGAAATGTAAAATTATTGTTTATTAAAAAAATTTGTCTTATAGATTAAGGGCAAACTAAAGTTTAGATAATGTTATTTTATAATAATTTAAGGGTTCTATTTTTCTTAAGGTATCTTAAAAAAACATTTACAAACTTTTTCTTAAGGTATGACTTTTAAATCATTTTTTTCTTAAGTAAATAAGAAACAATTGCTAGTTAATTATCATACAGTCCATCTATATACATACCGTGTAGTATGGCCACAAATGAAAAATACGAGAGCAAGATACTCAAAATTCTTATGATTAAATCGTCTCAAGAAGGCGCATGATATAGTAACAAAGGGAGGGAAGTGTATGCATGGAAAAAAAGAAAAAAAGGGAAAAATGAAAAAAAGGGAGGGGAAGCGTACGTACCCATGTACGTAGGTGCATACCTATGCCACGGGACGAGAGGTGAGACCTTATAGTATTTTTTTTTCAAGATCAATTTAATCTAACGGTTTATAATATTGGACGTACCGATTAAGTGAAAAATCAAGTAATGGATACTTTGCTTTTTTTCTCCTTAGAATTTCTAATACGTGTCAGCTTGAGAGCGTTTTAAGAAATTTTAAAGGACTTAACACATGTAATTAGAATATTAACCACTTAATATATATGTATAGGGCATATGGTAATATTTGTTCCAGCTTCGTGCATGTTTATATACATGTTGAGAGAAATTAATTATGTGGCTAGCAAGCCATTAGATGTCTAATTAGTAGCAATTAATTTTGACACCTATTTACAGTTGTTCATAGTAGCTCTTACATATTCATCTTACGACTTTGATTATCCGTTGATCCCCAATTTACTGATCACCATGACTTGTATAAAAAAATATGTACTACTTAGGATTTAGGACAGCTGAAATTGATGAATTATCTGATTTATGTGATAGCTATTTGAGGGTATAAACAAATAAATTGACTTCTAAAAAGTTAAAATGTTGTTTAAAAAAGACACCATTTAGAAACTTGGAAAGCGTGCAAACGAAAATCCAACTATGGAATCGGGGAAAAAAAAGAGGATCTTAAACTCCCTTATAACACCCTAGTCTTTGTAAGAGTGCTATTGATGTTCGTTAATATTGTGCTCATATTTATAACATAATGATTTCTTTCATCTATACGAACAAATAGTACAAAATCCAAATACGACATAACACAATACATTATAATTATTCTGTAATCAACTCTCGATTTCAGCTTAAACAGAGTTATGTGTTGAAAAAAAAACACAACCCACAGTGATTAATTCTTCTCTCGTTGCATCACACCTTTAATTTTCTTTTCATGTTATTAAAAAAATTAATCATCTACATATATGATTTAATATGTGGCAAAACGGTAGTGCTGCGGTAGTCGTGATCACCTTAAATGCCTCAGACACAATGCTTTGTCACGCGTGCAAAAGGTAAAGGTGCAGACGTGCATTGTGTAGTGGGCAAAAAAGAGAACTTCGGAATGCTTTATTTATTAGCAAATAATATATCAGATGATTTAAATAATGGGTCCACCGGTTCTAGTGTAAGTGTACATTAGTTAATATAGATTTTAAATTATTAATTTAATGGGTACATAATAAATGGTGTAGACTTTATTTTGAAACCATGCATTATTTGAGAATAATAGTCCAATGTAATAAAAAATAGTTCTGATAATTTAAATAATGGGTCCATCGGTTTAAGTGCATGTATAAATCAGTTATTATAGATCTTAAATTATTTATTGTGTAAACTTTATTTTAAAATAGTGCATTATTTGAAAATAATGAGTACACATGTTTAAGTGGAAACTATATTACATTATTAATTTAATGGTCACATATAATGGTTTAAATTTTATTTTAAAAATTGAGCTAATTTAGTTACCAGTGAGTTGTATGATGGTAGATTCTTTGTGTTGTAAATTTATGATTATTTTAAAAATATATATATCCATATTATATAAATGGAAAAGGAAGAAGAAAAGAAAAAGAAAAGAAGGGTGTACATACATGGCACATATATATACCCACGTACACATGCACTAGAGAAGGAGGAGAGGTGGGACCCCATAGTATTTGGTTTGTTTTAAGATCAATTCATCTAACGGTGGATAATATTGGACCCACCAATTTAAGTGAAAGTCAAGGGGTAGATGTTTTGTTTTTTTCTTAGAATTTCTAGGATTTTCTCTAATTTATTAGAGCGCCACGTGGTAGCTTGAGAGCGTTTATAGGAAGTTTAATGGACTTTTAGTATATAATAGATTATCCAACCCCTTTCTAAGTAGCCGGACTCCTCCTTTTATACCTTAAGGTGAGCTAATGATTACATTCTTGTATGGGGAAGTGACTATGCTCGGTCTTGTCCTTATCCCATCTATCACATCAGTCTGAACATAATCATTGCTGTTGATCGGGCCTGCACTTATGCCTCAGAAGGACTGAGTAGGAGGCCCGGCATAGCTAGAGAAGTCTTCTTGCGCCACATGTCCTGAAACAGGGCTCAGTGAGCCCAGATGAGGACGTAGTGGATTGGTCGCTCACCTTATTGCTTCACGGCGAAGTCACACACTACTCACTAGCGCGCGACACGTTACCCTGTCGCTGTTCCTTCGGGTGACACGACCAGCTTGATTACCTCTCGCCACCTCCTTCTTGAATGTAATTGAGTTGTAATCTCGACCTGTAATTCTCTAGGCACCGCTCTGCTACGGCTTTCTTCCACCACTCACCATCTAATCGTTGGGCCCACCATCCTGCGTAGACCGCCTGGAGGAGATCCTGGACTAAGCCCGGGGCAGTGAGCGTTGCTGACGAAGTTCCCAAGTCGAGCCCGAGCATCAAGCACTGCTAGGCTCACATTTCAAGATGGTAATGACATGCCTAAGTCTTACTTTGGAGCAATATTAGTGCCCCGAATCGTTGTATCTCCGGGACAAATCGCACTTCCGGGCACAGCCTACGCTCGGGGCCCCACACTTTCCCAGGCTACTTGATGTGAAGTCTTGTTAGCTTTGATAAACTTCTTGAAGATATCGTTGATGAAGGAGTTGATGATGGTCATGGCCTTAGAGGATATGCCAATGTCCAGATTTATCTATTTCAGTACCTTGAATATGTAGATCTTATACGTCTCCACAGTCTTTACCTAATATATATAAATCTTGACTCTTCTTGAGGTTTTTCCAAATGAAAACCTTAAAGAGCGTTGATGCCCCGGATTCCGGTTGGGTAAGGGCTTGGGTTCCCATTGTAATTTTCGACCTTCGCAGTTTCTGACTTGGTGATAAATGATATATGTGATATAAAGTGATTTTATAGGCCCACGATATTCTAGGGCCCCGGAGGAATGGGATCCCATTTCCCGTTTCAACAACTAGCATAACCAATTATGGGATTTTTGGTTTAGGGCAAATGCATAAATATCACAACAAATATCCATAAAACTAGTGGATACCCCTTTGTTGTAGCGGGATTTTAGAAATACTTCAAAGAAAACTAGAAGAAAACAATTTTATAAATCGTGTACTCATAGTATCTAAGAGGACAACATTTTAAACTCTAGTGATTGATGTGAAATTACAATTGTATATGACACATAGATGATTATGCATCAAGTATGAGAGGGATCCAATGGATCTTACTCTTTTAGCTAACATGGTTTAATGTGCATTAACATTTATAACAATAACTATATTAAATGATTTGAAAATGCGCATGACATAAAAATGGTTGAAATCAAAACATAAGAATGATTCAAAGGCATATTAATGTATCTCAATGCATATTAGCTTTTGGTTCCAACTATAGTATACCCCATCCGTTTCATATTATAAGTCGTTTCGACTTTTTTCCTATCTGAACTTTTTAAAATTCGATCAAGTGTATATAAGAATTTAGCAACATCTGAAACACCAAATTAATTTCATTGAATCTAACGTTGAATATATTTGTGATAATATATACATATAGTGTTGAAAATACCATTATATTTTTCTGTAATTTAATCAAACATAAATAAGTTTGACTAGGAAAAAAGTTAAAACGACTTGTAGTATGAAACAAAGGGAGTATATGATATATAGATTTGAGAGAAATCATTTGAGAGCTGAAACAAAGTGCTTGGACCTATAGTAGTATATGATATGTAGATCCTGTTTAGATTAGTGTCATTTTAAACCATACCTTGTTTGGTAAAAATGACAAATATATGGTTGCATCTAGTTTATTACCAAATATCGGTAACACATAGAAAATTTTGACACAACATATTTATTCCATCCTACCAAAATTTGGCAATTCTTCTAACTTGTCGAAATTTTGTCATTATCAGGATGATTTTGGCAGTAATCAGAATAGGCCCATAGATTTGTGCTTGGACCTACAGTAGTTTTTTTTTTAAAAAAAGTGGACCAGTAGGAATTGCTTGTCTATTTATCAGGATCCGGTTCTGATCTTAATTCCTTGCTTCCGATGCATCGCACGAATCTCACAGCACGGGCGTCCTCAAAACCCCCCAAACCCCTCTCCTTCCCTTCCAAACAAATCACTCCAATCCCCACATCGGCAGCACATCCCCCTTCGCTCCCCTCCTCGTCGCCCTCCTCTGCCCTCCCCTCCCCTCCTTCCGGAACCTTCTAGATGCTTCTCACGCGAAGGTTCTCCTCCGCCCTCGCGCGCTCCCCCCTTCTCCCCAGGTCCCTCCCTCCTCCGCGGGCCGTGCCCGCCACCCCTCCGGCGCCCCGCCCGCCGCCGCGCCGCCTCATGTCCTCCTCCTCCTCCGGCTGGCACCACTCCTCTCGCCCGCCCCCGCCGCCCCCCTCCGGCGCCGACAAGGTATTGGCTCATGCAGTCGTGTGGCTGATTGCGCCGCTGTCGGGTCTCGTATCCACCTAACGATGCGATGCGCGCGCGCTGTGGCATTGCAGGATCAGCTGTTCCGGGGGCTGGAGGCGGCGCTCGGCACGACGTTCAGCTCGGAGCCGCTCGCGCCGCCGCCGCAGCCGATGATCCTCGTCATCAGCGGGCCCAGCGGCGTCGGCAAGGACGCTGTCATCCAGGTTAGACCTTGCAATTGCAATCATTATCCTACTTGTGATGTGTTGCTGGGTTCAATTTTGCCTTCGGCTTTACAATGCTGGGTTTGGGATTGTTCACCAGAGGCTGCAAGAAGAGAGGGAGGGGATGCATTTCGTTGTCACCGCGACAAGCAGAGCGAAGCGGCCCGGTGAAGTTGATGGGAAGGACTATTACTTCGTCACCAAGGAGGAGTTCCTCACGATGATTGAAAGGAAGGAGTTGCTCGAGTACGCACTTGTCTATGGGGAGTATAAGGGGATCCCCAAGCAGCAGGTAACACACACCAGAATGGTGTATTGACTTCACCCAGTTCACATTGATGTTGATACGTAAGTTGCATGTGTAGGACTGGCTCAATTCAGGAAAAGGGAATTTCTATTATTTGTGAAATTTTGATTCTCATAATGTTCTGGTTGTGCTTTGCATATGCATTTATACTTATTTCAAATGGGTTAGCGAATATCTTGTATGATTACTGGAATTTCGTTACATTTACATTAAATGGTACTTCCTCCATTTCACAATGTAAGTCATTCTAGCATTTCCCACATTCACATTAATGTTAATGAATCTAGATAGATGTATATGTCTAGATTCATTAACATCAGTATGAATGTGGGAAATGCTAGAATGACTTACATTGTGAAACAGAGGGAGTACTAATAACTCACTAAAGATTTTGAGTAAGCTCTTCTAAATAGGTATTTTGGTCGAGAGCTTAAGCCAATACTTTTCAGGTACTTTAGGGTGGTGATGGACTTGAAAGGAAAGGGTGCTGTGCATCATTTTTATGCTAACAGTATTGCTTTGGTTAGCAAAATGACTTCTCATCTGCACTTATTCTGTTTGAGTTGACTGTTGACGTAAAGTGTCTTCAGAAAGGTGACACTAATTTTTCAAATTGTGCTGATTAGCAACTTTACTGTATTGGTAACAAATGCCAGTCTAACACCCCCCAACCACATACATACACACAACAAAGGATCTGTCAGATAAATCTATACACATCATTTTTTTCATGTATCTGAAAATAAGCACCATAAAAATATTTCAAGTACCTTTTAAGACAAATGTATATTAGAAGTTGTGACTAGTCTAAGATATTGTATTTCTTTCAACTGTTGTTTTTTTATGTATTATTGTGGCAAATCTGTAGTGAAGTTCAAAACGTTTCACTGAGTGCATCACAAAATATTACTACTTACTTTTTACTTGAAGAAGTGATATTTTGCATATGCAATGTATAACAACTTGATAATCTAAATAATTACTGATAACCGAGATATTGGATTCAACACACATGCCCATGGCTTGGAATACCAGTTTTCCTAAAACATTTTCTGTGTACCAATTTTATAATGAAGCATGTTTATAACAAAAACTAACAACACTATGCCTATTTTTGCCCTTGACATCAACTTCTTCAGCGATCTTTGTCATGCATATTTAAATTGTCCAATGGCTGTATAAAATTGCCAAGCAGGATAGTTCAACCCATTTACACTAGTTTTAGTCCCTGTGCGTTACTACCCAAAAAAAAGGTTGTTTTTTTTGCAAAAACATCAAGCTGTTGCCCCAGACACACATCATGCTCAGCCTACAGCACATTAGCAAATGTGTGGCTGTGGTCTGTGTTGCTGTCTGTCGTTGCGTTGGGCTGCTCCTGGCTAAATTGGACCTGTCAACTTGCCAAGAATGTTAGAGAGGGCCTCGCTAGGGATTGTTTAGGAGGGGGATGTGGTTTTTTAGGGAATACAAATACAACTTTTGATAAACTGATTAATTTGTTGAGGTGTTTCCCCCTTTTTCTGTTAGAGATCTTATCGAATGGGGAGAGGTGAGACGACATATGATCACTTACTATCTGAGTCTTTCATATAAGTAAAGGAATGTTACAAAGTAGTGTATACCGAATTGTTTATAAATTATATTATGAGAATTGGCCTGTTCATGTCACTTTAATCAAACTATTGTTCCAAAGGAAACAAATAAGTTAAACCAGTTCCTTAGCCTGTATAAATTATTGTCTTCTACTACAAAAGAAATGGTTGCTTGAACCTTTTTTTGAAACTAAAATGGTTGCTTGAACCTCCTCATGCTGGTGAGGGTTTCCAGCATATATCGAATCATTAACGCTGTAAATTTATGCACCTAATTTTTGTCTCCAGCATCTTGTTACTTCTGTTGTATGCAACTGCAAGCTACTTTGAGTCAATTGGCAAAATGAACAAGGACATCTTGGCATTCATGTATCCTAGAAGTTGCTGTTCTGGTATGCTTAAGTAAAATTGGGTGAATGGTCCATTTGGATAAACTAATCATATTATACTTTTGGTGCCCAGATCCGTGATTACATGGCGAAAGGTTATGATATTGTCTTGAGAGTGGACATTCAAGGAGCAGCAACCTTGAGAGAGATTCTTGGCGAATCAGCAATTTTCATCTTTTTGGTTGCAGAGAGTGAAGAGGCACTTGTCAAAAGGCTAATTCACCGCAAAACAGAAACATCAGATATGCTTCTTGTCAGAGTTGCAACGGCCAGAGAAGAGGTGAAACGCATGAACAATTTTGATTATGTAGTTGTCAATTCTGAAGGGAATCTTGAGGGGGCTGTTAAACAGGTGGAGTCTATCATTGATGCTGAGAAGGCTAAGGTCCACAAACGTACGGTTAATATCTAGTCAATGCTCATAAGTCACATGCTCTTTTAACGGTTTGGAGGAAAATTACCTGGTATTTTTAATCAATTCAAGTTTGAACTATTGTGGAGGAAATCGCCAATGACAATCTGACCTGACTCTTACAAAAAAGGCCAATTTGACTTACATTAAATTTGTAGCTGTAAGTCAGAAAGTGAAGTGCATGGCAAGTCATTGGAGTTAAATACTGAATATCCTGATTCAAGTGGCTTATAACAGCAATGTACTTGTGCAACTCTTTCTGGGTAGAAGTAGGTACTTTTTATTATTTATATATTATCTGTATTTTATTTGTTTGTTCGAATATTACAAACTACTAATAACTGCTTGGGATGAATCCTTATGCTACGGATATTTCCTTTTCCATATTTGATACTAGTAGGCATTTTCTTGTGAATCGCTGACCGTCTAGACTCAAGCTTTACTGACGATATTAACTTGTTTCTTATGTTCAGGCAGAACCTAATGATTTACAACACTATGACCACATGGTTAACCTCGTGCCGAAATAGTAAACCTTGTTGTAAAGAATTAAAGAAAGATGAACAGGCATAGCAGAATACATCGTAGAAAAACCAAAAGCTCTATCCGGTACTGCGGTACACAACATAGGTACAATATTTAACCATCTCAAAAAAAGAGAGCAAAGTAGAACATAGGCACAATATTTAACCATCTCAAAAAAAGAGAGAAAAGTAGAGTATTGAACGAAATATGAATGAGAGAACACATCAAATCTCAAATCAAAACACAGCAACAGAAGGGCAAATCCAAAATCACACAACATACCGAAGAAGAATGAAGCTCACCAGAATTCCCTCCTCGGATTGATCGACGGCGAAGAATGAAGCTCACCAGAATTTCCTCAAGGCGAGGGCGCCGGCCAGAACCCCAAACACTAACAAACCGCAACGACGACGATGTCATTGCCTCTCCTCACCAAAGGGGCCGTCCTCTTCCATCACGATCCGATCCGCTCCACTCCGGCCTCCGGGCGACCCGAAAAGGCCGAAACCCACAGCCACGCCAAGGCCTACAGATCACAAGCCCACAACTCGGTGGCACGCACCAGGCCCAATACCGTGTTTGCTGGCCCAATAAACGCCCGCGACCGAGTGGTGTGGTACTGTGGTGGTGGTGGTCGTCGTCGACTCGCCCGCACGCACACGCCCGCGGCCGAGCCACTCTTCTCCGCACGCGGTGCCCGTCTGCTACTCTGCCGTGTTGGCCGCCGCGCCCACCTTTCCTCCCCCGCCCCTTTCCGCTAAAGCCGCCGTGTTCATCGCGTCGGCGACCTACCTACCTACCCTCCTTACTCCGAACTCAGGCAGGCTCTCGTCTCTTCTTCCTCCCTCCTCCCTCTCTCGCCCCAAGCCCTAAATGGCGGCGCAGGGGATCGCGGAGGCGGTGCAGGCCTACACGGGCCTCTCCCCGGCGGCGGCCGTCACCATCCTGGCCCTCATGCTCGCCACCTACCTCCTCGTGTCCTCCCTGTTCGTCGCCCCGGACGCCGCGCCCCCCAAGCCGCCTCCGCAGCGGAAGGAGGAAGAGCAGCAGCAGCAGCAGGAGGAGGAGGAGGCGGGGGCGTTTGTGCCTTATCCGGACCCTGTACAGGTGGGCGAGATCACGCTCGAGCAGCTCGCGGCCTACGACGGCAAGGACCCCGCGAAGCCGATCCTCATCGCCATCCGCGGCCAGGTCTACGACGTCACGCGCGGGAGGTGAGGATTGAATCTTACTGCTACTAAGCTCTGATTTGGTCATGGTTTACGGCAGACTAGGATTGCTGTTGAACTGATTTCACACTGCTAAGACACATCTAAGCTGGAACAAGTAGATGAAACGAATAGGCAGCAGCATTAGTATAGTAGCCATTAAGCAAGTTTCAAAGTGGTAAGAAACTACGAGCTCTTCCAAGTATGTGAAATCATGGACCATAGAGTGCTTGTGAGTAGGTTATCAAACTGGTGGTGTGACATTCCATTTGTTCAGACATGCGAGCCCTGAGGTAGTAGGTCGATGGGTCTTATCAGCTTAGTAAGCTGTTGTTGCAATTAAATTGGTTTAGGGAACTCTACACGAGTAACGAGGAAATTGCCTATTGTCTATGCAAGTTTGAGCAACAGTCATCAACTTGGCATGGTTTTGCTGGTTCTCACTAGGGTTATTGTAAGGATGTTGTTGTGCGTTTGATTATCCTGGATTAAACTTAGACTAGAGAGTTGAAGTTATATCTACCACCAAGGGCGTTGGTTCAAATGACTTGCTGCATATCCGCAACCAACAAATGCTGTAGTGGGACATATGTGGCTCTGTAAATATTGGATCGTCTGCACAAGCCTCAAACCTCTGGTCCACTTTAGTTAGCTATGACACCATCCTAGCTTCCTTGATTGTTCCTAGTGCTTTTACTTAGTGCTGCCTGCTTAATGTGTAAAATATCGGTATTGGTAACATTCGTCTCATGGAACTTCCTAATTCAAAATATAACTGCTCGTACAATGTGGGATAACAGATCCATGTATGCCTTGTACTGTTACACAACCTTTCAATGTGAAAGCAAAAGAAATTTAGTGGGTACTGTCGAACTTTAGATGAAAAGGGTTGTGATACTCTTGTCTTGTTGGATCATTTCTCTAAGTTCTAAAGCTAAACTCCTTTTTTTACTTACTGCCTAATTGCCTATTTATTGCTCTACTGATTTGATGAGCTTTAAGTTTTCTTTTGTGCACCAGACAGATGCTTAAATGTGTTGCCTAATATTAGAGAATAACTAGACCATTTGTTTGAAACAGCTGGCTCGATACACTACCATATTTAGCATTTGTTGTATTTCACTCTACCATTTTTCCTATGCTCCCTTACACCTATTTTGATGTACTATTTCTTTGTTTATTTCTCCTCTGATTTCTTGTAAAAAAATATTTTTTATGCTTGGATGCTTGTAGCCTTGTCTCCACCAGACCACCTTACTATTCCTTAAGTTACATATTTTCTTGCTGTCTCATTGATCCCAATTTATCATGTGTGGTCTTTCCTTGTTTAGTCCATGTTTGTCTAGCAAATGGTATATTCTAGTTGGCACATTATCTGCAACTGTTGTTTAGTAGTGAACTGTTTGTCCTGCAGCCTGCAATTAGGAGTAGATAGTCTGCTATTTCAACAGACAACAAGCATATTCCTATTTGTTGATGCTGTCTAGACTCTAGAGCTCATACTGTAGTTTTCTAGTTGGGTATCCACTATCCCCATGTACTGCCAAAGAATTAGGTATATGTACCTGAAGGTCTGGACCCTTTGTACAAATATTCCACAAGTGCCATGTTGTGGATTAGAGTCATAAACGCACTGGTACTTGCGCAATATACTGCAACAACTGTCAATTCTGTGCTTACATACTTCTCAATTTCCACGTCCACATGAGGTTTAAAATGAGATCTCCTAATATATTACATCGTGCATAAAAGAAATGCTTGTATTTTGTCAGAAGCATAGCTCTATCTGATGCTTATTATAATTTGCTCTTGAACAACAGCTCTGAGATGCAGTTAGATCCTACTGGTGCTTGTCATCATGCATCAATAGTTTTATTTTCATTATTCATGATTGTGTTCTCAGTTTTTTTTTTTTAACTCCCAGGCTCTTTTATGGTCCTCAAGGACCATATTCCTTGTTTGCTGGGAGGGATGCAACTCGGGCCCTTGCATTGATGTCGTTTGACCCTATTGACCTCACTGGAGATTTGGATGGCCTTGGTCCAGACGAGCTAGAGGTCTTGCAAGATTGGGAAGATAAGTTTAAAGAGCGGTATCCTACGGTGGGCCACCTTGCTTCAGAAAATGCAGCGGATGGTAACCACGGTGGCGCAGCTTGATCACGAGGAAGGAATGCTTTACTCCATCGGTTTGTCAGTTTCTCTGTTCTTTTTTACTGGATTGCAAGTGGGTAGATCTGATCATATGATGCTCTGGTAGGCTCTGTTGCTTGTGTGCTGTTGTCGTGCGTGACTAATGTACCAGCTTTCCCCATCTGCTTTTATTTTGGTTTGCAGTGGATGAGGAGGAAATTTTGAGCGACTTGACTAAAAACTTGAGCTGTGACTCTCTTGAGTGCTCAGACCATGTGTATATGCTTTCAAGTTTATGCCATAATTTGCGGCTTACTTCTCGCAAGTCGCAACAATTATCTTGCTGGCAGCTAAAGCACGCCATGATTTGCCAACCATACTTAAGCTCCACTCCTTTTAGCATTGTCGGAGAACAGCATCAGCATCATGTCCACTCTTTACCAGATTCCGCCGCCCTTTCCACACATGATGCCTGTACGATTTCTCCCCTTTCTTTCGGCACCAGCACTGGAATCTCGATCCAGGCAGAAAAGACCCCGTGCCTTTTTCCCCCATTTCGTTCTCATCAGAGTGCACTACCCCTGTTTGACATGTGCGACCGAGGCGCCTAGCTAGGCCAAAACTGCTGCTCATCATCACCATCTTACTACTTTAGATCGTACTCCAACCTATATAGCCCGTGAAAACACCGTGGGAGAGATTTATTGGATTAGCATCAGCAGCAAGGGCGGCGACACGGCGCGTGTCCGCTCATGCAGATGCAGCGGCCGCCAATAATTGTCGGAGCAAAGGGCTAGCCGGGAGGCGCGCACACCTCGTCACATGGCGTGTCCCCGAGCAGAGATGAGAGATGGTGAGGATGAGATGGCCCCCCGCGTCGTCTCCTCTACCGGCGCGCGCCCGCGCGCTGCACGCAGGTAGCGCCATCCACATTCCTCGAGCCGCGCCGTGTCATGTGGAAACAGCGAGCGGCCACAACCCACCTCGTCGTGCTCCTCCTCCCGGTTTGGTTTCGTTTGGTTTGGTTTGTTTTCCTCTCCTCCGCTCGGACGCCGATCCGTCCCCGTGGCTCGCGGCAGAGTGTGTGACTCTGCACAGGACAGGATGGCCACCCTGCCAACCGTGTACTTGCTCTGGATATTTCTGGCTCCTCCGTCCTCCCGGAGCTCTCTCTCTCTCTCGCTGCCTGTAGCTGTACTCCAAATTGTGTGACGACCAGGCCACCAGGGACCTGGTTTTCAGTTGCTGCTAATATAACAAAATATCATGTGGTAGGCTGGTGGATATAATTGCAGGGAGATGTATTTTATAAACCCTCTCCTTTTTCGAGGTGTTCGCCATTTTGCTTGCTTATGCAGGAGCACATCGGTAATATATCATGCAAAATATGGAGTGAAAATTAGGCACATTGTGTGTGAGACAATTACACAGAAAGCAATATCGATTCATACCGAAAACGCCAGTACATATAGTAGCGTGAATCCGATCGTATCCATCTCGAACCGGCTTATAGAATCACAATCGGGAGAGGAAAGCGAAGGGAATCAGCATAAGAAACCATCTAGAATATAACTCTAACACCCCCCCGCAGTCGCAACGTCAGAACAACGGACGTTAAGACTGGATCGAAATTCATTAAAAACTGGACTAGGCAAGCCTTTAGTGAATACGTTAGCGTATTGTGATGTAGTTGGTACATGTAGAACTCGAACTGCTCCCACATCAACTCGTTCATGAACAAAGTGGAGATCGATCTCGACATGCTTCGTTCGTTGATGCTGAACTGGATTTGTTGAAAGATATACAGCACTGACGTTGTCACAGTAAACTAAGGTTGCCTTGGAGGGTGGAGCATATAATTCATGGAGTAATTGTCGAAGCCAAGAGGTTTCTGCTACTGCATTGGCAACTGCTCGATATTCTGCTTCAGCACTAGAACGAGATACAGTATTCTGACGCTTAGAGGACCATGAGATGAGATTGTCACCAAGAAACACAGCATATCCAAAGGTAGATTTACGTGTGTCGGGACAACCAGCCCAATTCGCATCAGAATATGCCATGAGATCAAAGGACGATGATCGTTGAATATGTAAACCATACTCCAAAGTGCCACGAATATAACGTAAAATCCGTTTGAGAGCAGTAAGATGGGACTCACGGGGATCGTGCATATGCAAGCAAACTTGTTGAACGGCATATGAAATGTCAGGTCTGGTGAAAGTCAGATATTGCAAAGCACCAGCGAGACTACGGAAATCCGTTGGATCAGAGACAGACGGACTTCCTTCAGTGGAGAACTTGGCCGAAGTGTCAACAGGTGTAAGACAAGGTTTGCAATCTGACATGCCTGCACGCTCCAAGATTTCTAGACAGTATTGTCGTTGAGTGAGTAACAAGCCACCTGAATGAGGAGTAACATTGATGCCGAGAAAATGATTGAGAGGTCCAAGGTCCTTCATGGAAAACTCCTTTTGTAGTGAAGTAATTGTCCAACGAAGAATGTTAGATGAAGAAGCTGTTAGAACAATGTCATCCACATATAGCAAGAGATAGACAGTGTCGGAACCGTGACGATAGACAAAGAGAGATGTATCGGACTTAGCTTCAGTGAAACCAATGGACAGCAAAAACATAGCGAACCTGTTGTACCAAGCACGAGGGGTTTGTTTGAGTCCATAAAGTGATTTGTTGAGGCTGAATGCAGTAAACTGTCTCTTGAAGAGTGCCATGAAGAAAAGCATTCTTCACATCGAGTTGATGCACGGGCCATGAGCGAGAGACAGCAATGCTGAGAACAGTACGCACAGTAGCAGGCTTGACCACTGGGCTGAATGTTTCATCGTAGTCGATGCCAGGACGCTGTGTGAATCCACGCAAAACCCAGCGTGCCTTGTACATGTCAAGAGTACCGTCGGATTGGAACTTGTGTCGAAAGATCCACTTGCCAGTGACGACATTGGCATTTGGTAGTGGTGGCACAAGGTCCCATGTATTGTTAGCCATAAGAGCAGTGTACTCGTCTTCCATAGCAGCGCGCCAGTTGGGATCAGCAAGAGCAGCCCTGTAGGTCCGAGGTACAGGAGAAAGGGAACCACTATGTAAATTCCAGGGATTATTAGGCTTGAATATTCCATCTTTACCTCAAGTAGTCATTTGATGTGTGTTTATAACAGGAGACACACCAAGGCCTGAGGGAGGCGCAGGAACACCAGGCAACCGGGCACTCCGTGGGCGCGTGGGAAAAACAACAGGCGGCAGTGGCACCCAAGGCAGAGAACTGGAGCGATCCGAAGTGGAGGGCGATGGCTAGGGCGAGTTGGGCCCGGAGGATGGCGATGACCCTGTTGATGGCAGTGGCCCATATGTTGGCGATGGTCTAGATGGTGGCGATGGCTGATAGAGTGAGGATGGGCCGACCGAGGTTGGGCTTGAGGGAGAAGTGGGAGATCTAGGAGATGCCGGAGCTGTTTTGGTTCTAGTTTTGGCGTGATGTGGCGCTTGGAGAATAATTTGTTGCGATGTTCTGGCAGGAAATCCCGGAGGAACAGCTGGCGCAGGTAGTGTAGTCGTGGAAAAGGATCCAGTTGATGGGTTTTGTACTGACTTATCCTGAATCTTGGTAGTAAACCCTGGAGGTGCAGCCGGCTGGTCCTGTAAAGAAAAATCCTCCAAAAAATCGAGATTAGCAGCACAGCTATCAACAAAAGGCTTTTCGGCAAATGGAAACGAATGCTCATCAAACACCACATGACGTGAAATGTAAACCCTATTGTAAATAGGATCAAAACACCGGTACCCTTTATGATCAGTAGGATAGCTACGGAAGACACACAAGGTAGAACGAGGGGAAAGCTTGTTGGCGGCAGTAGCAGAGAGGTTAGGATAGCACTTGCAACCAAAAACTCGAAGATGATCATATGAGGGGTGCGTACCATAGAGTGCAAAGAAGGGTGTGTGATGTTTAAGAGTTTTAGTGGGGTGGCGGTTTATAAGGTGAGTGGCTGTGTACAAGGCCTCAACCCAAAAAGAGGCGGGGAGACTGGCTTGAAAGAGTAGAGAGCGAACAATGTTGTTCAGAGAACGGAGCGTGCGCTCGGCTTTGCCGTTTTGAGGAGAAGTGTGAGGGCATGACATCCGTATGGAGACGCCATTGCGGAGGAAGAAATCACGTGCGGCAGAGTTGTCGAATTCACGACCGTTGTCACATTGGATAGAACGGATGGTGGTGGAAAAGTGTGTTTTTATATAAGCAAAAAAACGTAACAAAGTGGGAAATGTGTCAGATTTGAGACGAAGAGGAAAAGTCCAGACAAAATGGGAGCAGTCGTCAAGAATAACTAAGTAGTCCCCCGTAATCAGAACGGTTGCCGCCGCTTGCTGTGGAGGCAATGAAGGCGGTGGCCGGAGAGCTGGAGAGCCGGTGAGACTTGGTGAGTTCCTCTAGAAGAAGTTGCGAGCGGGCTTCAATGAATGTTGGGAACGGGCGTTGCATCGGTAGGAGAGTCTTGAGATGATCATATTTCTCATTGAGACCGTTGAGCAAGCATAGCACAAGGGAGCGATCCTGTACTGGTTCACCGAGATTAGCAAGACGATCCGCCATGGATTTGATGCGCCGGCAATAATCGGTGACATTGAGATCACCTTGGATGATGTTGCGGAACTCAGCTGACAAGTGGAGCGCACGCTATTCCCGATTTCCCAGAAATTGGTTCTCGAGGGCGAGCCATACAAGGCGAGCGGTGGCGTTTGGCGTCATGACGGTTTCCAGAAGATCGACGGAGATAGAGCCATATAGCCAACCCAAAATGACACAGTCCATTTGAAGCCAATGCGCATGGTTGGGGTAGAACGCATTGGAGAAGACGTGGTCGGTGAGGGCGTATTTGCCGAGCGTGACGAGGAAGAGGCCACGCCACTTGGAATAGTTTGCTGCGGCAATGTCGAGAGTAATAGGGACGAGAGCCTTCACATTTAGGACAGAGACAGCCTGGGAGTGAAGAGAGGCAGTCGTCTCTGCATCTAGTACTGGTGCAGCCTGAGGAACAGTAGGTAGACTGCCGGTGAGATGGCCTGTCACAGGTATGCCAATAGGGAGGCGTGGTCCGTGCTCTATAGGGATGCCATGAAGAGAAGCAACCGAGCCGGCTTGTAGCTGTGCATTGGCGAGGAGGGCGGCCAAATCAAGAGGTGCCGGCAGGGTTGGTGCCGCAGGGACCTCGGTGGTGGCGGGTGGCACAGTAGAGGTCAGGGCAGCCGCAGAGCCAGAAACCGAGTCGGCCGCAGGAGAAGAGTCGATCGGTGCGGAGGAGATAAGTGTATCCAGCAGGGATGGAAGTCGGAGACGGACTGCGG